GAGTCTGAACTGCCTGCTGCAGACAGCTGTGCAATAATGGAGGGAGACGATGCAGAGGAAGACCTGATGGACCTCACGAGGAAATCCTTTTTTAAAAGAATGAAGACATTCCCGCGAGAGGTCAGTAACAATTTAGATGTACGCCATTTTAATGCTGCCTTTCACGACTCATGTTGTCTGTGTTTTCAGAGAACATCGGATGGTTTTGACTCTGTTCCCCTGAAGTCGTCATCTTCCCACTTCAGGAGAGATGACTCTGACTCAGATGATTAACTCAGAGTGAACGGTTCTCAATACTTGAAGTTCAGAAAACATTAATCTTGGAGCACAGTACAGAGATGAATATCAATCAGTGTGGATGCATTATATTTATTACACAAGTTACAGGTTTAAGGCAATTTTATTTGGTAAGTGACAGTTTCATTAATTATTGGTCATTTGTTAGGTGTTTAAACCTATTGATGAAAAACAGTATAGTATATACAAATAAAAAGTCTCCATATTGGGGATATTATGTGTTTTGGATATGTTAAAGTTATCTACATGTATGACCCAGATTGTGGATAGAGTTATGGTTTTTGTTCACATCAAGTTTTTTTCTTTAGAAGGTCTTTGTATTTTCTTGTGTTTGTTTCATTGTGAATGCTTGATGTTTTTTAAGGTCACGTTGTGATTTGCATGTGTTGCATTTTGATAATTGCTTCACTTTTTCTACTGGTAAGATTTCATCTAATGTGCCTTTAGGAACTCCTTGTAAAACTATGTTGAAGAGGGCATTTGGTTCACCGAGTTGAACTATACATTGTTTTTAATTTCATTAAATGACTACTTATTAGCAATAGTTGTGGTCATTTATTAATGATTTGATGATGTTTTTTCTCATATGGACTATACAAATAACTGCATCAAGGATTTGTATTAAACAAGACATGTTTTTTCCACAAGTGCACAATAAACATTTATCTTCAGCACCAGTTTGTATTGAATCTTACATAGATTTCAGATTTTAATCTCAGAACAGTAACTCTGAATCTATTGTTCTAAAAAGAAATTAACGTTATTATAAAATAATATTTTAAAAAATAAGAAGACGGTATTTTTAGATGTTACAATTAAAGTTAAATTACAATTCATATATTTATTTAATAACATAAAGATCCTGCATTTTAAAAAGGTTTTGTAAATAAAACAAAAAATGTTTTTAACTAAAACCATTACAACCAGTCAAGTCAATTTTACAATATTGGTACTTTAATAAAGTATTCATCCAATATTTTTTGTAATATGAGTTATGTTATAGGGGAAGCGTTAACCATTGTTTTTTCCTAGTAGTCCTTAAAAGCAGCAAGGACCTGCTGTCCCAAACCAAGACACTTGTTCTCGCGAGACATCACGTCATACTGCAAGCATCGGTCGCAGGCAGGCTGAAATCTCGGAGGAATCTGGAAACGAGCAGAAGAGAGAAGAAGCGAAAGTGTACAAAACGTGCACGCAGTCGTGTTAAGCTACTAACGGGCGCAACAATAGTGCGTTCTACTATTATAAGGTTTATAAAAACCTGTTAGTTAGCTCCCATTTTCGGAACTTGGAAAAAGTTGAAGTCCGGCTCGGAGGACCCGCCTCGGGCAGCGCACAAAGTGCAATCGTTGTTCCGCAGCTGCTTCTGCAGGAATGTCGCAGAAAGAAAGACCCGTCTTTTATCGAGAGGAGGTCAACAAGGCAATATGGGAAGTTCCGGAGCGGTACAAGAAGCTATCCCCGGTAGGCTCGGGCGCCTACGGCTCAGTGTGGTAAGTTAGTTTTCCTGTTAACTTTTTTTTGCGTGGGTTGTGGAACCATTACAGCACTAAACTCCCATTCATTGAAGCGAGGCCTGTGCTGCAGATGCTACAGAGAGTTTAGCTTCCCCTCTGTTAGCTCTTCCTGATTGTTAGGTCAGCGAGGTGCAGACACGACGTCTGTGGGCGAAAAAGTTGTAATATGTCGCGAAAAACCATCGCAACTTATCTGTGCACTTTACATTGAACTAATGCATTTCTCCCCAGCCACTTTATGTTTAACCTTATAATATATATACACGAGTCATTATCCGAAGAAAGTGCATTAGCACTCACAAAATTGACCCACATTTCTCAATGAAGGCAGCATGCTGTGTCAGCACAGATTACAAGCATATCGAAGTTTAAACACCATTCTGTCAAGTGTAAGTATTATGTGCTCAGTTGTGAAGCTCTGCAGAAAGCAAAATGTGTTCTGGCTAATTGCTTAACGAATGTGTTTTTTTCAGTAATTTACTACATACTCAATGTCAACAAGCGCTACCTGTTTTGAAGGCAAGTTGTTAGCACTCATGTTGCATTTCCCTTTTTTTCGGTCTGTGGAAGCCGGCAGTAAGTCACATCACGTCCGACAAACACTTAGTTGGTTGTGATCAGTTGCCAAGGTGGCAAAACAAGATGTTTTACACCAGAATCACAGCAGGTTCTGACAAGGCTGGATTTACAAGTGACAGGAGTGCAGTGTGTTGAAAGTGCATACAGTTCATATTTAAGGTCGCCATATTGGTTTTGGACTCTGGGATCTTTGAGTTCATATGACCTGAAAAGCACAGATACTAAGCTGTTACCACTAATGGTGTGACTGGGGGAAACCAACTCAGGAAACTAAAACTCGAACTCAACTAAACCTAATCCAGATGAGCACTTTTAAGTCTTTAAAATTGTTTGCTGTAATCCAGCTAAAAATAGCACAACAGTATTGAACAATGTGGAATCACTTGTCTTGCCTAGCCACAATTAGTATTCCAACAGCCTCTAGGAAACCAAACCCGCAAATTGTGCTTTAAGGAATCCAGCACTGAGACCCAACTGCACTAAAATTGTTTGACAGTGCTGTCAGTGTATATATGTATGTATATGTGTGTATATATGTATATGTATTATGTATATCTCAGAGCAGCATCTTACATAGCTGTTAACATGAAACATGTCAGTTATTTAATTATGTTATAAATTAATTATCCAATTAATTTATAAACTGATGCATTTTTATTTATTAATAATGTAATACATATTTTATTCAATATCATATACTTCCATATTACTGTACAAAATTTGTCATTGGGAGGAACCAATAATTATACCAATAATAAGTGTCCAGATGCGATGATGTGTTTAAGTGCTAAAGAAAATGTTAATTAATGTATTGGCAAATATGGAACATATATTTATATATTTTTAAAAAAATCCCATCAGGGAGTTTTCCTGAGGATGTTTTTTTCTAGGTTTATTTAAGGCATGATTTGTCACTTGATGTGCTAAACTTTTTTCTTTCATAAATACTATCAAATATCAGACTGTTTCTGCAATAATGGAAATCACTGCTGTACTTGTGTTTGGTATGACTATGTTCCTAGCAGCATACAAATGTACAGCTCAGGCATCTGTATTTGGCTGTGAGGTTAAGTGCATGTCACTGATCAGTGCTTCACTTTCAAGGACCTTGGTGATATGTGAATGTCATTATTACTGCTTTGTGGTTAGAGGGTTAGTGTGCACACACAGGTGGTACGTTGCCTAAGTAGTGTTGTGCTGATACTATCTGGGACACAATATTTTGAGAGTGACATTTGGTTTAGTGAACAGATGTTTGTTTTGCAAATGTAACCATGCCAGCTGTGCTGTTGCCGGGCAATAGGATAATCTGGTGTGGGGCAGATTAATGGCTGCTCGCCAGTGTGATGTTTTTTTGAACACACTGACACACATAATGCAAGTGTTTACATGGTTTTTTACAAGTTTATTGGAAGTCTCTGTTGGTCCAGGTTTTACTTTTTGCTTTGGAGAATTTGACACTGTTTTCATCATGCAATGGCAACAATATACATGAAAGCTTGGAGTATATCATAGTTATTGTTATTGAGGAGGCTAGGATCTATTAGTAGTAAGAGATGCCCTGATTCACAACATGCATGTTTGAGATTATTGTCAAAATCTTGTTCTGCTTTTTGACAGTTCATCATATGACATGAAGAGTGGTGAAAAGGTGGCCGTAAAGAAGCTCTCGCGGCCATTTCAGTCCATCATCCACGCCAAGAGAACGTACAGAGAGCTGCGGTTGCTCAAGCACATGAAACATGAAAATGTGAGTCGCAGTTTGTCCATTTTGTTGTTCTGTGTAAATATTAATTCTAAAATCACATGGTGTGTCTCATTATGCAACAACTCACAGTATGTGTCAGAGTACAACTTCTTGTTTCTTATGTTTGTTTTTTTTTTTGTCATGTCTCACAGGTTATTAGCCTCTTAGACGTCTTTACCCCGGCAACATCTCTAAAGGAATTCAATGATGTGTAAGTTTACAATGTTTGTGTTTTTAAAATAGAAACCTTAATCCTAAATTGTCATTGTTGTGCCCTTTGGACTGGGGTCAGACTATGTCTTTTACTGTAAGTGCCGCATTTATTTTCTCGGCAGCTGAGAAAGCACCTGGATGTGAGCCAGGAGGGAGAAAGTGAACACTCAGAGAACACAGAGAAACTGTCAGCTGTGATTATTGCTCTCTCTCTCTCTCTCTCACTCCGTCTCTCGTTCTCCACCAGCTTTTTATTTATGCTTTCTGGTTTCTGACATTATCAAACATTCTCCATCGTTTGCCCTTTTGGCAAACTGTTGTTTAGTACTTTTGTTGAAAGTCGTTAGAAATGAGATGTGTCAACTAGACACCTTGTTCTTCAGAGGGTGATTCTCTGAAGAACAAGGAGTCTAGGTGTCAAGGTGTCTTCTTCCCTTCTCGTAGGTAGGAGAGATTTTTTCCCCAGTCTTGAAATCAGGTTTTGATGAAGTCCTGTTGACACCTGACTTATGACCCTGTCTCAGCTGTGAACCTGCGGCTGGACTTCATTTCTCAGTTTATTTTATATTCCTTCACATTCTGGTCGTTTCTTGTAATTTAGTACAGTACACAGCGGTGCTGCTCTCAGAGACTGTTCATACTTTATATGACAGCGGTGTGTTTCTTATGCTCCAGTTCCATGTCATTAGTCTGGGAGGAAAGCTTCAAAACCCTGGGCGATTATGTGGATCAGGATCCTGGAACTTCAAGGTTTCGTGGCTGTGTACCTAAGATAAATGCCATGTTACCTTCAGTTCAGTATGTTGAGCATGTTTGTTTGGAACAGTGGGAGTTGCAAGTCATTTTTTGAATACTGCAAATGTGCAGAATGTTCACATTTTTTCAAAGTCTCTCCCTAGTCTTTGTCTAGGGAAAGTTTAAAGCTAAGGATTTGGAAATGGATACAAATGCATTACATTAAAAAACATTAAATACATAACAAATTAAATATTACCACAAAGTTTATAAAGGTTCGGAAATAACAGAATTTTAAAAAGGTTAAAGTTCAACCACTTTTCCCATTTAATTGAATACAATTTCTCAACTGAAATAGCAGCTGTATATACAGTATTTATGTCTATTTTATTTATAAAATATACAGAGCTGCACAATTAACGCAGTGTAGGGTTCAGTCTGTAATGAGCAGCAAAGTAACAAAACCCTAATCTTCCCACATACTTGACAGTAAATGAGATGTCACTGTTACATCACCATGGTGATGCCCTTCCCTCCTCCCTGCTCCGTATCATAATGTAGTTGCCCAGAAGTAGTTCAAGATCAAACATGTCACTTCTCACACTCTGTTCTTTAGTAAATGGAAACTTAAAAAGAACAGAAGCAGTGTTTTCATGCACACACCTGGACGTGTTCAGTCCTTCAGTAACTCTGACAGAGAGAACATGTGAATGCATGTTTATGGCTCAGCTGTCAAAAGGGAGATGTTTTTTGTTTGCCTTCAATGTTCTGCATGTGATGAAGTGTCGAGAAAAACATTTCAGTTATGCAGGTGCTGTAAGCGTGGTTTCCCTGTGGTCTAAAAATACAGCATGACTCACATCACTGCAGTGAGGCTCTTCGCAGCTCCACTGCTGCTCCTGTTCCTATAGGCGAGAGGAAAACACAGGTCACTATTTATACCGCCTTTTTTCAAGGCAGGTGAACTTTGGAAAGTGTCTCTGTCAGTGCGGCTGAGAACAAGTTCAAGCAGTACCAGAGGCTATTTTAAAGCCCTAATCTCTGTCTCTGCGCTGTGCTGTGAGAAAGGGAGAGGAGAATTGTTTGCATGTATATTTATCCAGCAGCAGCAGCACATATTTTGGCTGCTAAAATGCCTCTGGTGCATCCTGCTCTTGCTGACTTCCACATTTTCAAATTCTGTCAGAAGTTTTCTTCGCACTAAAATCTGCTCCTTTTTATATAGAAATGTGTTGTACAGCTGTAAATAATCACTGATTCATCAGTTGACTCATCTGTTGATTCGTTTTCTCCTCTAGTGTTTTGGTCTGTGACAGTGCTTCACATAACAGCTGTATTTAACAACTAAGTGACTTCCACAGCTTACCACTAGAGGGGGGCCACATACCACCAGTGATACACACACCATAGTTTGAGAACCATTAGTCAATGAAATGCTGAAGAATATTGGAAAAATAATGTTTCCTGTAAATTTTAAGCAACAAACAATATGTTGTAAACATGTTTACTTCAAATATATTCTTTTTTTTAAACTTAAGCCCTGATTAACTGACTTCTTACAGCCGCTTATCTTTAACTTTACATTTCTCACCAGACCTTGCTGCCACTACAAATGTGTTTTTTTTAAACCCCATGACTTTGTGAACTGTAATAAAACCTGGATCTATGTCTTTTCAGCCCAAAGTAACCATCTCTGATCATTGACAGGTACCTGGTGACTCACCTGATGGGGGCAGATCTCAACAACATTGTTAAATGTCAGAAGCTCACAGACGACCATGTGCAGTTCCTCATATACCAGATCCTCAGAGGGTTAAAGGTGAGTGACATATTCTTAAGTGTTAAATAATGTTTTATATACTGTATATGTTGTAGAAACCATCGAGTCTGTACAAATATTGAGTCTGCAGTGCAGCACAGTTGAGTGATGATGTCATCTTCTGCACGTCCTTTTTCTATTTCTACAGTATATTCACTCAGCTGGCATAATTCACAGGGTAAGAGCAACATTTTTGTGTCATTTTTAGTCTCTCACTTGAAGCCGAATGTCACCAAGTGTTTTATTCCCCAGACTTGTGTCCATCACCTAAACCTAAGTTGCTAACAAATCACATTTGTTTCTCACTTTGTTATTGTAGGATTTAAAACCTAGTAACCTGGCTGTGAATGAAGACTGTGAGCTGAGGGTCAGTGGAAAAAAAACCCTCATTGGGAAATACATTTATTCTTTAAAAAAATGCAAATATTGAAATTTTTTTTCCTTTTTATTTGTTTCAGATTTTAGATTTTGGTTTGGCGCGACACACTGACGATGAGATGACTGGTTACGTAGCAACCCGCTGGTATCGAGCACCGGAGATTGTGTTGAACTGGATGCATTACAACATGACAGGTACAACTTCACTGATGCCTGTGTTTTTGTTTTAAAACTCTACCAATGTTGGCCTTAACTGTTGATAACTGTACTGTATCCCAGCAGACAAACAGCTTTGATATTCGCATTGTTTTACTAACAAAGTTACAATGCTTCTAGAAGCTCTGTGACTATACATTAACTGAACTAATATCAGTTAATTACACCATCTGGAATTTTTTATTTTTTTTTTAAATGAGTAAATCCCATTATGTGTGTCCTGCTTCCCTGTGTTCCAGTGGATATTTGGTCGGTGGGATGTATAATGGCAGAACTCCTCACTGGAAGAACTCTTTTTCCTGGCACTGACCGTATCCTTTAAAAAAGAAAAATTAACCATGTACATAAGACTATAACTCCTGTGTGTTTGGACAGATGTATGCCAGCGTAGTTAAAGAAGCTGATGTGTTTTCTTTCTGTTTGTGTCCGCCTATTAGAGAGAAACAGCTTTTGTCTTCTAACCTGACTCTGCCTCACAAAGAAATGTACCAGCACACATACACCTGCTGGCACACCTCCCTTTGGCTGGTCATACGACTCTATGCTGCTGTCGTGCTGGTCCTGGTATTTTCCTCCTGCGTCACACCTGCACCATGTACTGTTGGCACCGGTCCATGTGTCATTTGTTGACACAGTTTACAGTGTCTGTGCTCACAGTCGTCTTAACCTCTGCCTATTTCCTCTTCCTGCGTCTGTTTTGTCAGACTAACAGCAGTACTGTAGGTGAAGCTGGCCTGTCAGTGTAAATTTGTCCGTCCTAAAAGTTTCTATACTGCTTGTGAATCATTGAAGTGATTCAAGTTTTTTTTGAAGAAGGTCAGTACATACTCCCCTTCCTCCCCCAGACATTTTTGGTCTTCCTTTACCATTTGTTTGTAGAGATTGATCAGTTGAATCTAATCATGAAGTACGTTGGAACACCAGGGCCCGAGCTGTTGATGAAAATCTCTTCAGAGTCTGTGAGTTTCCAGAATGATGCAAATGTTCTTTGTTTCCCTTTTAACCAGTCCTCTGCTCCAAACCTTCTTCTCTGCAACGGTGTGATTCACTGCTTCTGCTTTTCGTCAGCATGTTTTTTTCCCCCCTATCCTTCGGCTTTTTAAATTTGAGGCTTGCTCTTCGCTTCTCAAGCAGAGTGAATAAATTGAGGCCTGCTGTGACATCAGTGTCACACAGGTGATTGAGTGCAAATGACGGCCTGGAAAATCTATGCCCAACTATTGTTTCTTGCCTTTTAAACGTCGGTTCTTTCCCCAGACTTTTTGGCCACAGTCATTACTGCGTTTTGAGTTTGACACTAGGATTAAGCTCAGATACAGCTTCATAACCATCTCTGCTCTGTCGCCATGCTCTCCTTAACACACATCATAGATATAAACCAACTACAGCAGATAATGCGTCTGACAGGAACACCCCCAGACTCTCTAATAAGCAGGATGCCCAGCCAAGAGGTGAGCGGGTTCTTCAGTTGAACCGTCTAATTAGTAGTAGTTAAATTTCTGCACTTTTTTGGAAATAAAATCTAATATTCAGAAGAAGTATGTTCAGAAATAGTCCCCGCAACGCTCTTCAAAAATCTTTGGAAACAGAAAGTATAAACTGGAAAGTTCGTACGTTTTATATATATTTATTGAACTGATTACAGTTTGGATGTAAAAGGCGAATTATTCAGAGATTTTGGTTGAAAATCAGTGCACGACTAACTCAGAGAATCGTTTGTTAGTTTGAAAAAAGTTCTTCAGTGAAACGAATGAAGACCTGAGTAGGATGACCTTTGCTGTCATTGCACTGTAATGATGTCGGCAGCTTTAGCACAGACACCCAAAAGTAACACAAATGTTGTAGTAATCAAATGAGCGGTGGCTTAATTCTAACGTCCGTAGCTTGGTAAACTTAGGACAAGCAGTAAAGCAAATGAATAGTTAATATTTAGTGTATTTACAGTTGTATTAGGTGAACTAATATTAGGTGAACAATATTTTCTGGAAGTTTGTTCTTTAGTCAAACAGAGTTTAAAGACAAGAGCATGGTTTACTTTCCTTTTTTAAATTTGTTTTCCATAGTGATTATTGTGATCTCTGCCAGGCCTTGATGCATGTGGTTGTTACTGTAGCCACAGGCAGCTTAAATCTGAGGTGGATTTCGTATGCATCTCTTTTGCTTTCCCTTTCACCTGGGTGGTGGCAAAGTGTCTCAGCTTGTTATTTCACACTGCAGCTTGCACAACTGCTGAACTTCCTGATGCTAACAGAGCTCACAGTGTGTCCTTTTTCTGTTGTGCAGTTCTTGCAACCTTCAGTGTGGTTTTGTGTAATTCCGTTATAAAAAAAAGAAAAGAAAAAAGATGTTTCCTCAGGGCTGAAGAGTCTGCTGAAAATCACAACATAAAAAGTTCACTTAAGAAAGAGCTACAGCACATTTTCCCAGAGCAGCGCGAGAGCTTGACTGCACCATGTTTTGTTATAGCTTTTCAGCACATCTTACTTTTTATGTTATCTTTGACTTTCATCATCAATAATTATGCACTAGCTGCTTAAGTGTCACTTCAGAAAATCGAAATTTTAAAAACAATTCAAGATAACAGGTTAGAAAAAATACATTAAAAAAATACCTTAACAAAGACTAAGCTGCAGGAGAAACTCCATTCAAAGTGACGTTAAGCCTAAAGTTGTTTAGTTGAAGCTAAATGTATCATTACATTTACAATGTTAACCACTTGTTACTAGTGTTACTAGTGTTAAATGTCAACATTTATAATTTGATGCTAGATTCAATGGTATATTTAGTATTGTTGTTGGAAACAGACAGTGTTGAACGTGAACAGCGTGTTGCTGCTGGTTGAACCTGACATTGGTTCACTTTTTTTTTTCCCAGGCTAGAAACTATGTCAGCTCGTTGCCAAACATGCCCAAGAGGAACTTTGCTCATGTTTTCATTGGTGCCAACCCACAAGGTAACAACAGAGGTCTGACTGACAGACGGTAGCACTCTGTTCTGCTGCATTACCGGATACGTTCTTTCATGGACTTTAAGATGTCAAATGTCTGCTATATACAGCTCTTTAGAACTAACTCCACCGAGGATGAGTTGGAGGAACATTTCTTTGACCCTAAATGTCCTAAAATATAAATATAATTCCAAATGTAATGCAACATGAAACGTGACATGAAAAAGGAAAACTCTGTATTTATTTAACAGAAACCTGGCATTGTCACATACTGTTTCTGTTATGTCTAATATTGTTTTAGCAGTGGTGACAGGCCATGTTGCATTTTACTTGAAACATTATTTTGAGCATGTTTTAAGCCAGTTGTGATATAAACTACTTTTTACAGTAGGTTCTGTAATTACCACCTGCTGCTGCTCAAATCTCATGTCCTCTTACTTATTCATAGCCATACAGTTACTGTTTATGCTGAAATATATACAGATATTCTCCTTTGAGATTCAGTTGTTTGAATGTGTTTTAAAGCTGTGGACCTGCTGGAGAAAATGTTGGTTCTGGACACTGACAAGAGAATAACCGCAGCCGAGGCCCTGGCACATCCCTACTTTGCTCAGTACCACGACCCCGATGATGAGCCTGAGGCTGAGCCTTATGACCAGAGTTTCGAGAGCCGTGAACTGGAAATAGATGAGTGGAAACGTATGTGGTTGAAATGATTCAACATTGCAAGAGAATTATGACAGTGATTCTGTGAGTACAAACGAAAAAAGTTCAAATGATTTTATGTCTCCCAGGATTAACCTACGAGGAAGTTTGCAGTTTCTAATCAACCGTCTTCGACGAGGATGACATGGAGTAATAAAGACGTGCCACCACAGGATCTCACACATGTATGTTAGTGGCAAGGACACTTGTATTATTCAAATAATCTCTATGGTCTGAGAGATCGTTCTTCAGATTATTCTCTGAGGGATCAATAGCAGCACAAGGGGAACAAGAGCTTGAGCATTTGTAAACCACTAATGTCTGGTGTTGGGCAATGTTACTTGCTGCCATTTGTGGAGAGAAAGAAAAAAATCTTGCCTCACACATTTTAAAGTAAAATTTAGACTTTGATGACTCATCACTGTGACTCTAAAATGCTGTAACCACCTATAGCTGTTATTTGTCATTTAAATTACTATTGAGTAACTTATGAATGTTCTTTTATTATGGCTTTTCAATCAAGACATATGCTCATACACATAGGTATATATGTATGTATATGTACATATACATACATATGTATATATACATGTATATGTAAGGAGAATCTGTCACATAAGGCACAGGTTCACAGGTTGTTTTGATAACGATAATGTTCATCTGTGCGTCTGTTTTCTCCATGGTCCTTCCAGTATTTATTTGAAGAGACAACTTCAGTGTTTTATGTCTATGTGTGGCAGTAGATTTTACAGTTTTTAACTTTTTAGATGTTTGTCACCTTTTTGAATGTGCTTCTGCTGTCTTTTTATGGTTATCACTTGAATTTCACACTTCAATTAGTTTGAATGCCCTCCGAGACATTTTGGCAACACATAATCTGAGCCTCCTCCGTAGGACAATGCTTTTCAATGTGGCTCCTAAAAAGGAATATTAATATTTATGGGTGAATGTGCTACTCAGAAATGTGTAAATATGTGTGCCACACATTTTATAACTGGATTTGTTGTATTTCTGTCAGGAAACAATCACATTTAACATGTCGAAAACATCTGCGATTGCGTGTTGTTGGTTTACAGAATTTGAAAAGTGTGATGCTGAAACATGAGATAAAATACTTTTAAGTGTGTAAATGAGGGATTATACATTTATTTATACTTTGTGGAGGTGGTATTTATAAGCAACAATCTTAAGCTTCCTCAATCGATTTTTGAGTCAGCAGATTAATTACTATGTGCATTTGTTAAACAAAATAAAGTCATATTTTTAAGAGCTTACTAGTATGTTTATTGCCTCTTACCCATGTTTCACTTCCCCATTTAGGTACAGCTTTTATTAGAAGTGTGAATACTCATGAATTCATTAAACCACATGGACACATTCTACATTTGTTTATGTGTTTTAAGATTGATGCCATAATATACATTTTATTCTGCACTTTTTGTCATTTGAAAGAACTGGGTCTATCAGTTAGCGACATACATTTTACATTTACAAAAACGTTTGGATATACGTTCTCCTGCATTGTTGGACTGGAATGTTAAACACCAGCTAACACCTGCTAAACACTGCATCTTCAGTATAAATGATTTAATTATTCATTTATGCAAATTAGATTAATTTAGTCATGCATTTTTCATCTAATTTGTCAAGCATTATTCTACAAGAAATATTTTAGCATACAAGAAAATTAAATGATTTACATTCCCTTATATTGTTGCTAATATTATAATAATAATATAATAGCTTACTATAAGTCTTAGGGCTACGCATTAAACATAACGTAAACACTAGCTCATGACATGACGACATTTAGGCAGACATCTGTTTTAAACAGTGACTGTTCTGTGAGGTCATGTGTTATCCACTATACATGAAAGAGATCTGCTGTTGATGACGTAACGATGCCCAGGTGGAGACTTCTTCCCCCACGCATACACATACACAGACACGCACACACACTCAGGTACAGTGCGCAGGCGTGGAATATTCTATCAGTGGTGCTTTAGCTAACCGCTAAACTCAAGCCAACATGGAGAGGAAAGGTAAGTCTTCCCACGGACTGTCTGCACATCATGTCTTAGCGACGTTAGCCGTAGTGTCGACATGGAAGCTTGGGGCAGTGCTGTGACGTTAAACCGAACTATGTTCGTTCATATTTTTAGTTTTAAGTGAAGGAGTCTGTCACGCACTATTGAGCTCAGGCGATCAGCGTTAGCTACACAGCCGCTAGCGTTAGCTTCAATGGGACATGTCGGGATTAGCAGAGAGCGCTGCGCTCGACTTTCTAGCCCTTTCTGATGTATTCACACGCTACAAAGCAGGCACCGTTCACCGACTGCTGTCGTATAAATATACTGTCCACCAGTGCATGCAAAACGAATGTTACAGTGGTGAGGTGAGAGGTTCTACCTACAGAATGTCTGTGTATAGTAGCTTCATATAGCAGGGCATGACAGGGTCTCCAGTATGTTTGTGGGTGACAGATGCACCGCAGGTTTGATTTAGGATGCTGACATCCGCTAATACAACATCCAGTCGACACGAGTCTCTATCCTGAATCTCGTGTTGTCTTTTTTCATCTGTCATGGTTTGGAGCTTTTGAATTAACAGCAGCTGTAAATAATGGCTTAATTAACATGCCACTGCTTTGTCCTCCTGACAGTTTTGGCACTCCAGGCAAGAAAAAAGAGGGCGAAAGCGAAGAAGACCAACAAAAAGTAAGCGTCTACCCTTTCTGAACCTGTTTGTTTCACTGCCATGCGTTTTGTCCGCTGTTAACGACCCTGACACATAAGCTGCAGTGTGTGCCATTTACAGAGCTGCTTATACAGCTTATATGGGCTGAATAGTATTTTCACAGCTTCAACTGGAGCCCATTGAAGTAAAATGTCATAAATAGGTCTGTCTTCAATGTGTGATTGCTGATGAATAGGTTTACATTTACATTACATTAGTGACAAAATACATTTTAAGGTGTATGTGTCAACAGTGTTCACAACCACAAGCAAGTTGTAAGCAAATATTGCCTGAACACATGAAGCTGATGTCAGGCCATTGTCTGCACACTGACCGTTGTTGGTTTAAAAAGTCTAATATTTGTTCCACGAGCCTTCTTTGGTCTCAGTCAGGCCAAGTGTAATACAGTAAAACATGTAGAAGGTTAAGTTGGGTTTGAATGCAGCACATAAACCTGCACAATTCCATTAAATTTCTCATTTCAAGTTTTTCTTTCAAACATAAAGGCACAACAATTGCACCTTGCAACAACACCTTGTTTCTACTGGTTAATTCATATAATATCATGAACCCACTCAAATTAATTTAAAAAGTGCAGCTTTAAATCATGTGTGTAAAGGTTATAGACCAGATATGCTAAGTAGACTGTGTATAGTGTTGTAAATAAGCTGAAGGTGTTCGGAATGGAAGTATAAGGGTAGACTGGATGAAGAACCAGCAGGCCACAGAGGCGGTGTGTATGTGAAGGTGTGGTATAGAACTGAAGGATGCAAGATTAATAAAAAGAGCTGTGAGAATTATATGCCATATAGAGAATATATTGGAAAAAAGGTAGAAGATAAGCTTCCTAAAAGATAAAGTGTCTCCTGTTCTCAAATAGGAGATAAAATCAGCTGGTATAATTCAGAAGAATGCTAAAGGGAGATGTAGAGAGGCCCCCTTTAGCCCCCTTCAAAAGCCCCCCCCAAAAAATGCTGTATCATACCATGACTATAGTCCCTGGGTGACTACATGCAATGAATGTAACATTTGGATTTTGGTGCATTTAAGAGTCTACTAATTATTCCATCAGTGCCCTCCTCTGGAGTGTTACATAACAGCTCTCGTGCTATATTTACCACAGTAGAATAAAGAAGCCTACATCAGTTCACCAAAGCAAGATTTCTCTTTAAATCTAAAAACATAATAAATCTTGATCTTTTGAGTGTGGCTCAAACATGTATGATCAATAGACATAAGAATCTTTTGCCCATGAAGTCAGATGCACTAGAAATAGTCCCCTTGCATGCCACAGTCATCCTTGCATACCAAGCACACACGTGAGTGTGTATATAGAAGAGCAGTCATATATCCTGGAGTGAACTGGCTGAAGACGGAGCATAAAAGTCATCTTAATTTTAGAGAGTGCTGGGGTTGCACTGAGCCAACTTTTGGGAGAATCAGACCATTAGGACACTACATATCCCAATTATTTAGTCTTTCTGTAAAAAAGCATCAGCAACGGCGAGCAGAGATGATATAACTGTCATCTTAAATACTCTTTTTTTTTTTTTATTGTTGTTTTTAATGTCATTGAATTGGTGCAAAAATGAATTTACCTGTTGTAGTTTTGCTTTTTTTAAATTATTGAAAGATCAAGCAAATATTGTTAATTTACAACGAGTCAGTGCTAGTGGACCCACTCCTATTGTAGGAATTATATTCCATACTGGGACAGATTAGAATTTAATCTGTCTCCGTTGGCTCAGGTGTTAATTTGGCAGTGGACAAATACTGAGCTTTCAAGTTGTTGATTTACTACTGAACATCTTGGTCCACTCTGTCCCAACTATAAAAAGATGGACAAAGAAAACTCTGGCTGCAGAGGGGGTCATCATGTTTTAGAGTCACTCAAAGGGAAAATTAGCCGTTCATGTCCAGTCCCCTTAGTTACTGTTGCTAAGGTCCAGTAAACTTTGAGAACAAACAGAGTTTCAGTCCTTGTACTTCATGGAAAAATCCAAACTATTACTACAACTAACATAATAATTACTTAGCCAAATGTAACTCTTTGATCCTCTTGGGGATTTACAGTGGAATACCAGTGTATTTAAAGAAATTTGACCCAACTTGCTCTGCAGATTAAAATGATGTGACAGATTTGTAGACTGCACTTCTCCTACTGTAAGTTCATCCAAACTACCAATGCTTTTTATGCGTCTCTTATGAGTCTTTATCATGGCTCTAATTATACACGTACATTTTTTCCTTATCATTATCAAACCACAGTTGTTCTCTATCAGATGAGAATCACAAAGCTTTTCCACAGCCTAAATTACACTGCATTGTCTTTTTTGAAAGAGAGAGACCCTCCTCGCAGCCTCTCCTGATCACCAGTGTCACTTTTACACATGCTGTCGGAGCATAATTAACCAGAATGACCCAAATATTTGGATAAATGATGAGATTTAGAAAAAGTACAATCAATCAATCTGCAATATCCTGCTTGATGTCTTTTTTTATGCTGTTGAAAAGGTCATACAACCTACAGCACCCAGATAGCCCCAGATACATTCACTCTCTGCATAGTCTCTGTTTATCAGCTGCTGTATTTGTCATGTAATTTAAAGTTGTGTTCAGTAGTTGAGCCGTTTATACTGTTAATTATCTTGTGATTGGTGCAGTGTGTCTGTGGCCTTTGGGTGAACTTTCCCAAAAAGGAAATGCATTTCTGTAATTTAAAGAAACGTAATGAGTCGGATATACTGCAAATGTCAGGGTCGGTGTTTATAGCAACACATTAAATGCTGGGTTTGTCTGTATTTCAGACAGCCAACCAACCCCCGAACCAGAAAACAGCCCCAGCAGGAAGCTTCACCTCAGGAAGCAGAGGAACAAGAAGAGATCCTTGGCTCTGATGATGAGGAGCAGGAAGATCCTAATGACTACTGCAAAGGTGAATCGTCTTACCCATCATCACTGTGGGCCAAATTACTGTTCTATGATCACAAAAAAACCAAAAGCATACATTTCTAATCATAATAAACCAACCTTCTTGTTCTCCCTTAGGCGGCTACCACCATGTGAAAGTAGGAGACCTTTACAACGGGAAGTACCATGTTATCCGGAAACTGGGCTGGGGACACTTCTCCACTGTGTGGCTGGCCTGGGACATTCAGTATGGACAAAAATCTTCACTGCATATGTTGCATACACTGTTGTGTTTTGAGGCCTGACACTGGATACCAGACAAATCAGTGTCTTTCTGAGACTGTTTTGACACATGTGTGTGTGTTGTTGTTGTGGCTGCAGGGTGAAGAGGTTTGTGGCAATGAAGGTGGTGAAGAGCGCCGAGCATTACACAGAGACAGCGGTGGACGAGATCAAACTCCTGAGTTCTGTGAGTCGGTGGAACTGTGTCCTCAAAGAACAGTTGTTCTTGACCATGACCATGTATTAACGCCTTCAGTGCAGACACACCGTTTTTAGTTATTAAAAGCACATGGCACAAAATCACAAGACCATGTATTCATGTGTGTGTTCTGTGGTTCTGTACATGCAGTACAGTACTGTCTGGAGCCTTCGAGCAATTTAGCCTTCGAGCAATTTAGATGCATAGAAAGACCATTTGTCATTTAGGCTCTACCATAGGTTTCCCAGCTAATTTTAGATTACATTAGAGCCTCAACATAGGGCACATTTTGCATGGGGTAATAGATGAATGGTTAATTTTGCTGCATTTGCCTTGTGTGTGTGTGTCTGTAGGAAAGTCACCTTAGAGTCTTAACAGCTTAAAGACGGGGAAGGAGAGTGGCACACAAACATAAAAAAATCAATTTGGCTACAACAATTTTATGGAACACATTTTGCCTCGGCCGGAATCATAATGTATTATGTTTCATTACATTACATTATATTATGCTAGAGAACTCTGCTCACACACTGAGCAGGTGCGTACGTCAGGGGAGAGAAATACAATTTATTTTAGGTGATCGAAACCTTGGGCTGAACAAGTCTCCAAATGTGTTGTCTGGTCATGATGAGAGAAATAAGAATATTAGCTGACAAGGTAAAGGGCTTGGTGTACAGGGCAAAAGAGGAAAAAAGCTAAAAAATAGTGATTTAGTTTTATAATAAACATACATACATATTTTATTGTGATAGTAGTAAAATTTGGCTTTGAATGTGTTTGTTTTATGCACAGGTCAGGAACTCAGACCCTGGCGATCCTAATCGGGAGATGGTGGTACAGCTGCTGGATGACTTCAAGATCTCTGGAGTCAACGGGACTCGTATCCTTCACAGCCTGATGATGAAACTGTGTTCTGTTTTAGTACACTGACGATTTTACTAGAAAGACATAAACAGTTCAAAATAGTTTCACCTGTTTTTCTTCTTAGATTAGTTAAATGCATTACATAAATAACATAGTAAACTGCTGGTGTTAGCTGTTTGACTGGACTGAACCGTGTGTCAGCCCTGAACCTTTTGTCTGTCTAAGAGCCCTCTAATGCCACTGGGATTGTTGTTGGTGTAATATGACACTGTTCAGGAACACGGTATTGTCTGGTCACATGTTGTCCCTTCTTTTGCGTTTAAATAATACCGCTCCTTGTGTAGATGAAAACACTGGGCCTCCACACAAAGTCAGTCGTGGAGCCTGAAGGGTTTTTTATTTGCTCTCGTTTTCCTTGACCGCTGTGATCTTCAGATGTCTGCATGGTGTTCGAGGTGCTGGGCCATCACTTACTGAAGTGGATTATAAAGTCCAATTACCAAGGGCTGCCACTGGCATGTGTGAAGAGCATCATAAGACAGGTAACATGATGCTCCCGGTGCCACACCTTCTCCAGGCAAAACACATGACGGAGGTTTAAGTCACTGCTTTGTCTAGTTACCAAGTAACTAGACAACTAGACATTCAGAGCTGATGTAAACAAGATGTCTAACATTGAACTTATTTCTAAAAGACTTCAGATTCTCTGTCACACATTATCAGAGCTTTTTACTGATCTTACCTTTAAATGTTTGAAGTTGTTGGCCTCTACTTTTGACTCTTTAACTTTTATATATTTTATATATTTTTTATATTCAAATGTACTCTCAACTCCTGTGACCTATTAAGGACTGTCCTTGTGTTTTACCTGCCAGGTACTTCAAGGTCTGGACTACCTGCACACAAAGTGTCAAATCATCCACACAGACATCAAGCCAGAGAACATCCTGATGAGTGTGGATGAGCCATACGTCCGTAGACTGGCAGCAGAGGCCACAGAGTGGCAGAAGGCTGGAGCTCCGCCCCCCTCTGGTTCTGCAAGTACGAGACATGGAAACACTAAAACACGCACAGCATTTTTCTCCCCACAGCACAGATTCAATTTGTTTGTACTAATGTGATTTTCTCCTTCCAGTAAGCACAGCACCTGTACCCAAACAGGTATGTTGCTTTTTATTATTTAAATATTTCCTGAGGCAGCAGTCTCCTATTGGCTGTGGATGACACGTTTTTCCTTGTGTTCCATCTCTGACAGACAGTAAAAATGTCTAAAAACAAAAAGAAAAAGTTAAAAAAGAAGCAGAAACGCCAGGCAGAACTGTTAGAAAAGTGCATAATGGACTTAGAGAAAATGGAAAAGCCCACAGAGACACGAGAAGACGAAGATGAGGAAGACGATGTTCTGCAGTCCCCAAAGGGGCGAGCGTGTGCTCCTCTAAGACAGGTCTCCCTGCAGGAGATGGGACACGCTGGAGATGCAGGACAAATGCACGAAACAGACGGTAGGAAACACAAATCACCAGAATAAAGAAGTGCTCAGAATCTGCACCTAAATAAATCCTCACCAGTTGTATCTCTATGTTGTCAGAGAGCAAAGACCACACTGACCTGATGATGATGATGGGACCAGACGGACGGACGGAGTTGAACTGTAATGGTTACGTGGATGAGCTGCAGACTCGGTCACAGCGGAGGGACGAGGACCATCACAATGGCAATGCAGACCCCACTGACAAGTGTGAGGTACAGGAGGACGCCGAATCCCCCGTCCACTTCATCTGCAACGGTGTGGTTTCTACTGTTCTGGATGAGCTGGACACTGAGATCGAAGGCCGGGGCGCGAACAGCAGTGACGCTGCTGAAATGAGCCTTCCTCCTGGTCTTGAGGAGGAAGAGCTGGAAACCATGCAAACCATTCTGCAGGAGGAGGGAGAGGACGAGCAGAGCTATCAGTACAGAACCGAGGACGGCATGCGGGACGGTCAGTCCGACAGTTCTAGTGTTTGTTTTTTATATGTCAACTGTAAACCTGAATGTTTTAAATTAGATTCCAGTTCATCCTTGTGTTTCTGTGTCTTATCACTTACAGGCAAACAAACAGCAGGAGAGCTGCTGGTTAATCCGCTTGATCCACTTAATTCAGACAACATTAAGGTCAAGATTGCAGACCTGGGAAATGCCTGCTGGGTGGTGAGTACTTCCAGTACAGTCACAACCAGATCTACAGTATTTTTATATAAATGACTGTTTATTACCCCATTTATAATGTCATTGACACTCGTAGAACCACAGAAATCATTACATTTCCTTAGTGTTCTTCAGGAGTTTCTCACAATTTGTCACAATAACAAAAATCCTGGAAATATTTGTGTGCTATGTACAATTGCTTAGCCAGGATGCATTATGGGACAGGTAGTTTATGGTAATCGTACTGTACGTAAATGTAATTAGAATTGGAAATGAATAAATAAGAACTGTTGAATTAATAGCCCTGTATATGTGCAAACAGAGACCACTGCATTTTACCCACTCACAAGCCATTAGTATGGACTATAATCTAGATGTTGATTTCAAGACAACCATGGTGCCCCAGTGGGCCACATAAGATAATGTGGTGGGCTACATCTGGCCCATGAGCCTGGATTTAAGACGTGGTCTTGGGCCTCTGTAAGCTTCTGATATCTTCACATTCAGTATTTTAAACATTTGTTGATGTTTTTTTTTTTTTTTTTTTTCTGGTTCTCCTACGCAGCACAAACACTTCACAGAAGACATCCAGACCCGGCAGTACCGATCCTTGGAGGTTCTCATCGGTGCCGGGTACAACACGCCGGCTGATATATGGAGCACAGCCTGCATGGTGAGATGCTGCAAACAAACAATCAGATGGCTATAATCCATTATATCTGCTGGATCTCAGTAGACCTCATTACGGGAGTGCATCAAGTGGAGGAGGGGTGGGGTGGTGGGGGCATGTTTTCCCATCATCCATTGTCTTTTCTCATGTTGATGGTATTGTCTCCTAGGCCTTTGAGCTCGCCACTGGGGACTATTTGTTTGAACCACATTCTGGAGAAGATTATTCCAGGGATGAAGGTATTGTTGGGATTTTCTTTGGTCCAGTTTAGTTTGTTTCATGTATAATTTGACATTAACATAGATGTCTGTCACTGGATGGTGGGCTGGGTCATTGTTTAGAGCTAACATGTTTTTACTGCTACTTTAAAAAGCTAAAAATGTTTTGGTTTTTTTTTTTGTATAATGTATCGCTATTCATACAGTATGTCTACAGGTGAATTGATTCACCTGTATTGTTTTTATATTGATAGGATTTTTGTTTCTGCTGTAACTGCTGTAGATGTAGAATGTCTCACGTGTAGAAAGATGTGAATCCTGTTATTCTGAGAACAGATATTCCTGTGTTTATGTCCTCTCTAACACCTCCAACCACACATTTCCTGCCGCACTGGAGATGAGGCCATCTTTTCACTTTCTCATCTCTCTTTTTCTTCACCCTCCCCTGGCTCACCCTCCATGCTTCCTTGTTCTCATCGTCATATCTTCTTTATGTAACTGCTGTTGGCTTTCTGCCTTCTTCAGTTCTCCGGCAGCATGTCGCTCCGATTTGCAGGGATCAATGGCATGATTTAGTCTGCTGTTAATCAGTGTTCACCTACGGCACGTATGCAGAAGTCTTCCTCTGTTTTCAGGCTGTCTAATCTGGTTCAAACATCTGATGTACGTGTTTTTTTGCACACGGCGCTGCTGGCTTTGCTCAGGGTCCTGTTTTAGCTCTGGTTCATTTGTTGTGTTGAAGTTACTCATGTGTTAAATGCTTTTTTTATTTATTGAAATGTTAGCGATCACGGTCCGTGTCGTTCTTCATCGACATCATCATTCATTTCTCCTAATCTATTGTTCCACTGGCTGTTTATCATCCCTGTCCTCTCCCCTCTCATTTGCCTTTTCCTCCCCTCCCTCCAAAACTGTTTCCCCTTACTGCCTTTCATCTCCCCTCTCTCCTCTGATGTGCCTCATTTCCAGACCATCTCGCTCTCATGATAGAGCTGCTCGGTAAAATCCCTCGTCACTATGCTCTGAGTGGGAAATACTCAGAGGAATACTTCACCAACAGAGGTATGCCACTCCTCTGTCTGTGGCCTGCTGTGGGAGCCGTGGCGGAGGGCGGGAAGGAGGTTAAAGGTGTCTGTCAGCACGTCATCTGTGGGTCCTTCAGACAACAGCAGTCTTCCAGATTTTGTCCAGAAGCCTTAATCTAAACATGAACTTTTAATCTCTGCACCACAGCGTGTGCAGTGGTGCAGTGTGTCTGTGCTGACCACCTGAAACGACTCCTGCCCACTCCCACACACCCACAGCGGGCCCGTGACTGTGACCCCGTCTGACTCTGCTCTTTGTTGTTGTTTGTTCTTTCCCCTCTTCTTTTGCCACCTCCTGCCCTGTAGACCATATAGCGCTGATCATTGAGCTGCTGGGGACTGTCCCACGCAAACTCATAGTGACTGGCAAATATTCCAAGGATTTTTTCACCAAGAAAGGTAACACAAGAAGCGTCAGGGTCAGGAGTAGAGTTTGTAAGTCCTCACGATCAGGTGTGTGCCCTTTAAGTCAGTCATGACATGTCTGCTTAAATTAAATGCACTTTAGAAACCTTTCAAATGAAGCTCTGTGGTGAGCTTTTAAAAATGACAGATAATGAAATGAAACTGCTAAAGATTTATATTAAATTTATATTAAACTATGCACTGCATAGTGTTGAAAACAAGTAATAAGAATGTGAATTTACCTTTAGCACACTCTACTTTTCTGTTTAAGAATTAAATTATAGATATATTATTATCAACAAACGCTGAAAGTTGAGTTCTTCAGAACTGTTCTGCAGTAAGGGCTTCACCAAATAATTAATGTCTACAACAAACACAAACTCATCCTTCGATGTATCTTTCTTAATACTTTTTAAAATATCGATGGGATATGTCTTTGCCTATTTGCTCTTTTTGGTTCTGTCTGTGTAAAACACCTACAGGCTCTATTTCCAGATAAGTATGTATGTAATATTAAATAAACACAAACAACTCGGTCCTGTGGGCTGCCCCAAGATCACCAGAGCAGGAACATTGATAAAATTTTCCGAGATGTATGATCTCGTCACTCGTGTTACTGAATTTGTTTTCCGCAGAACAATGTCAAAGTTTGCCAAATTCTGAAAGTGTGGTCCTGTAGATGGTGTGTGACTTGTCTGCCTTTAGTCCAGACCTGTCTGGTAATGAAAAGGTCAGGCTTATCATAAAGACAACTGAGACAAGGTCAACTCTATTATACTGCGAATTGGGTAAAAATTCTGCTTTTTAAAACCGCGTCAGCGACTGTCCTCATTTCCTCTTAGTGAACAGATCTGGGAATAAAATTCTCTGTTAGTTATAATATTGAATAAATATAAATACTAAAGTGCTTCAGCTTTTCTGGAAATAGATGTTGTATCAAGTCGTAATGTTCCTGATTTTTCCTCCTACTTCTCCTGAGTTCACACAGTTCTGTTTAGGACTCCTGGGCTACGACTCAGTTCTGTGTGCTTGGCTTTCAGGTGACCTGAAACACATCACAAAGTTGAAGCCGTGGGGTCTGCTGGAGGTACTGATCGACAAGTACGAGTGGCCCCGGGAGGAGGCAGAGAGCTTCACAGACTTCCTGCTCCCCATGCTGGAGCTGGTCCCTGAGAAGAGAGCCACTGCAGCTCAGTGCTTGCGCCACCCTTGGCTCGCCCTCTAGTGGACAACTCCGACATTTGCACCTCTCCTTCCTTCCTCTCTCCAGAGACTGCAACAGATCACTTTCCAGATGGGGCATATCAGATGAATATTTATTTCTTTATATTTTGCTTTGAATTTTCTTATGTTTTTTTTTTTTTTTTTTTGCCGTTGAGCTGAGAATCCTGTGTATGTTTGCTTTGTATTTGTACGTTATTTTTCTGGTGTTGATGATGTCAGGAAACAAGTGGATAATATTTCTTTGTGGTTGTGTTGGCTCCAACTGCTGTGCTGCGTTCGTCCATCCAGCTTAGCAACCTGTCGTCGTACTGCTAGTGACTCATCCTTGTTTGTTACACTCCTGCACTAAATCCCCAAACAAACCAAGGATATGTAGCCTTTATTAGTCACGTAGTCCCTAGAAAAAAAAAGAAAAAAAGGACCGGCTTTCACTTCTTTTCTCTTAGCTTCATTAGTGCTGTGTTCATTTTTTTATAACTTCTGTTATCTCATATTACATATGTATGGTATCTATAGTGTAATTTCTGATTTAGGTCTAGGAACCTGTACACTGGGCGGCACATACACTGACTGCAGTGACGTTCACAGCATTTCTCTGGACAGAACAGCTTTTCCTTTGGAAACATCTGCTGGTTGATAAATAGTTCACCACTTTAGCCCCGTCAAATCCGTTCACCCGATGATTAGCGTGGTTAGTTTGAGTTAAGGACGATGGTTTGTTCGCATGGGAGGCTGGTTTTTCCTCATACACCTAAACTTCAGAATTATATTGTTTTAAAGGATCCGACCAGTACGTTTCAAGAAGCCCACTAAAGGAAAAAGAAGTGAAACAAACTGTATATATCTGTACCAAAGAGTTTGCCTTTATGTATATTACAGTTATGTACAGTTTCTAACAAATCTTATATCTTAGCTAAAGATATTTAGCTGGGTAGCTGTGTTTTATTAAAAAAAGGTGTATGGAAGATGTTTGAGCTCAATTGTATGTATGGCCAAGTGTTCAATAATTTTGTTGTTTTCTTTCTTCCAACCATAGAAACAGTGGCTCCGATTTTACGTAATGGTGTGTCAAAAATCTATCACATCCCAGTACAGTAGTCAGTGGTATCATCAATGTATCTGCTGAGGCCTAGGCGAAAACTTCATTTAGATTCGTGTCAAATTCAAGAACATAGACTTTGTCAGCTGTCAATTTACAGAACTGTACAAGACCATACAATAAAAACAAGTTCATACCGTTCAAAATACCTGTTTGTAGTAATCTGTTCTCCACGCCCCCTAGTGGACATCTCAAGTTGGTTGCTTCTTGACCTTTGTTTTGTCCCAAATAAGGGGTGCCTTGGATGAACTTCATTCAGATGTAAATGTTTTGATCTTTATTGATTGTCATACTATCCATCAACATCATTTTGTGAAAATATGGCTCTACTGTCTATTTAGGACCCTATAAATATAGAGAGTAGGCAAAAGTGCCAAAAAGTAATCCAATTACGTGTTCTGAAAATGCTAAAAAAATAGGTAAAATAATAAATGTCCCTGACCTCTTGATGAATGACAATGGCTGATGAGTTAGTGATGATCAAATATGTATTTTAGCCACTGAATCAACCTGAGGTGGATCAGATGAATAATTCAGAATGTTCTTTCAAAGTTAAGCTGCTGAGTGAACTCACTGACTCTGACGCTCAGGTTCAACTGGGACGCATGAAATATGACAAGTAGGAAAACAGTAAAAGCTGAAGTCCATGAACAGAGACAGTTTAATCCCCTCCTCTGTTCTGCTCCTTCCCCACATTAACCCTGTCCTGCTCCCTCCACCTCAAAGTCATCCGGCAGCAGTTTGTCCTGTCGGTTGCCCAGAGTGAAGGACAGAAAAGCCAGAAGTAGAGCGTCCAGAATGCTAATGATGGCCAGGATGTAGGCCCAGCGCACCGTGCAGTTCCCCAGGGAGTACTTATCCGTCCTCTGACCGCACATCCTCTTCACCTCCTCTGAGTCCCAGCCGTCTGGGTAGATCATGCAGCCCATTACCATCAAGACGGCTGCAGGGAAAAGAGCCACTTAGAATTGGCAAAGGTTTCACAGTGTGTTTAATATGGTGAACATTGATGGCAGATTTGTTAAATTTTAATCATTTCATTTATTTATAGCGTTGAGGAATGATGATGCTCAAAGTGCTATTAACAAACAGTTATAAACAGAACTATTAAATACATAGATTAAAGTCTAATTAACATCTTAAAAAAATCAATTATTCTTATTTTTTAATTAATTTTTTCTTTAATTTATTTATTCTTTTTTGATAAATTGACTCATCAATTTCTCATTGATTAGTTTACTAATCAACCCAAGCAACAATAACAATTGGAGCATGTATAATAGCTACAGCGTATATTATATGTAGTTGTCCCACTATGAATAATTTACATACAAAACTGACTGGTTAAATGGTCATATATTTACAAATATATGTGTCCAGTTCCAGCTCCTTATTAATATTACCACTGAAATACTTTTGTTAAGGATCCCAGGTCTTCTTTGACCACGAGGGTCCAGTGTGTTTCCTTGTTTCCTTGTTTCCTTGGCTCAGCTATGATTCCGGTGTCAGATCAGTTAACACACGGCGACACCTGATATTGTTACATGTTACTAAAACACCTGTGGAGGTGTCGGAGTCTGGACTGAAACTGGATCTGTGATCCGCTTCAACAGTGACAAAGAACACACACACAGAACTCTCTCACTCACTCAACATATGATGAGTGAGATTCTTATCCGGAGCATATTTCCCAGAAGTCCTTTCAACAGCAGTGTAGTAATATATAGTATATTGGCAGTATAGTAATAAAGACAAATCTGTAGTTTAGTGTCTCAATGGGAATCAACCTCAGAACCTCAGACCTTAGAAGAGTTGGGATGATGATAAAGTAGAGCAGAAGAGATCGTACATGTTGGTATTTTTGTAGGTTTTCATCTTTACATGGAATGTTGTATATGTGGAGAGTCCATTGCTAGGAAAGATTTTGTTAGATTTTAGAAAGGCAAATACTCCAGAACACTAAGAGTAATTATTATTTAAACAGGAAAAATAAATGCACAAATTGCCTTCACCTCTGTAGTCCAGATTTGTCTCTTGTTTTAGAAACCTACCACATTTTCATGTCATTTCTTTTCTTTTTTTCGTTTCTCACCTGAGGCCAGTTGCATCCACGCGCAGATCTTGTAAACATTCCCCGCGTTGCAAAAGAAGAACAGACTGAAGCAGACCATGGTTCCGACGATCAGCAGCATGGATGTTCCAACGAAGAACATGGCCGTCCTGAAGGCAGGTGAGGGGATGGAGCCAAAGTCCAGAGCGCTGCCCTTACACACCAGCTCGGAGGTCAGCGCGTTCCCGATGCAGTAGTGGAACAGGCCGAAGTATCCGGCCTGCGGGGTGTTGACGCTGTCCCCGATCCAGAAAGGCTGGATGAAGACCACCACCGTGATAATGACGAAGCAGATGGTAAACACTGCCCACATGACGCCGATGGCTCTGGAGTTTCTCACGTAGTTAGTGTGGTAGATCTTGGCTGCCTCCTGAGCTGGAAGAAGGTTCATGGTTGCAGACGGAGCGGGAAGAAAAAAGAATCCTGAGTCTGATTTGTTGTTTCGAAATGTTCTCAGTTACGGCACTAAATTCACAAGAGTGTGAACAAAATGTGTTTACAGCACACACACAGGTGAGCGACTGTGACACTGACACCTCTGTGGTGTTAGTTTGAACTGACATTCAGCACCCTGGACAGCTCTCTCTCTCTCTCTCTCTCTCTCTCTCTGTCTCTCTCCACTGCTGAAGCCAACTTTTTCTGCTCTGTTTTTGTTTTAAGAATGGCTTTACTTTCACACTAAAAGTTCAAGCCCCTTAAAAACCATCGTCTCTTTTTCTAATTGATGTTTTCCTGCTTTCATGTCAACGTTTTGAACCACCTCAGCTGCTGCCCTCAGATCACTTCAACACATATTGTTTCTCTGCGTGTACACGTTGTATTTTTGTGCCAAATCCAGTTTTGGGATGACAACTATGACTCGAGGTCATCAGGAGCTGCCAGGCCGAGCGTGTCACCATCTGTGGACGTCCAGTCGCTGCTGGTAACAAGGAGCTGGAGGGCTCTGACGTGACACTGTGGAGAAACGGCATCTGAGATCTGGGCTGTTATTCTCTCACTGACCACTAGAGGTGGTCCCGAGCAGTTCAGGAGCAGGAAAGGAGGGAAATCCAATGGCTTAGAAAAAGTCAGTTCACTTCACCTAAAGAAGGGATCATATGAGGTGCTTCTTCACGAGTTAAATGATAATAAAATATCTACATACTCAACAAACTAGAGCACGTTCACACATTCTGTGTTTGTATTTTTTTTTCTAGTTTGTTGTCTGCGGTGAATTGTTTTAATGACCTGATTTAGGGAGCAGGGAAGATTAAAATAAACAAACAAACACAACAACAAACACAGCCAGCTTGTTTTGAAGTCAGAATGATGAAAAAGCCTGTAATGACTTAGTCAGGGGGGATTTAGTGAAATCCATTTGTACGGCTGCTGCATTCAGACCTGGTGTATGAATTAAACCCTAAATCCAAGGCCATCTGTTTCTGACCCAGAGCAGTGACGCTGTGTTAATGAAGAGTAATCCTGATGTCTGTCTTCACAGTAATGTGCTCGGTTTATCTCAGATAATAGCAGGAAGGCTAATAAATAACGTTAGCCCTCATTAGCATCAGACTTAGTTTATACAGAAAGGCTTTGTTTCTTATTTGGGAACTGTTCACAAAAAACATCCCACTGTTTTGATTTTAAACCAATTGCAGCAAATGAGAATGAAAAATAATCACAATTTAGGCATTTGTTTAACGAAGTTTAAAAAAAAAATTAAATATGCTCAGTTAAATATGTTCTAGATATCTAGCTTCATTAGAAGAGCAGAAATCATCTGGTTTCCTCTGAAATTAGCTTCATATGAATGAAAGTTTAAGAAAAAAAACATGGCTAGTATTATTTACAACAGGTTATAGTAAACATTGTACATTTTGAGGATTTATACTATTTGGTGTGCTATGATTAAGTGTTAATGTCCACGTATGTGTGTGTAGGTGTGTGAGCAAACAGGTCTGCTGGGGAACAAGGCCAGAAAAACGTTCAGCACTGCACTGTGATTGGCTGTCGAACCTACAACAATCCAAGATGGCTGCCAGCTGCCAGCACGGAGTAAACTTTTCCTCATTAGCTCAGGACCAGGCAGCCTGTAGCTGCTGGTTTGGATTTGAATATTTGTTTGCAGGAGTTTCTCTTTTTCCTTTCTTCTCTTTGACCGTCATGAGGGTGAGTGACCGACTAAATATCACTGTGTTTTTTATTGTGAAACTTAGTTTATTTAGTCTGTCTAAATGTTAAAGGCACAGCAGAGAAAAAAGGTTTCCTGAACTAACAGACTTGTTTCTTTGGAAAGTTAACTTCCTTGTACCTGTCTCTGGTTGAACTCTATTTTATACTTTCCTCAAAATGGTCTCTTAATTAAACTTAATTAAAAAAGACCTAAAACTATCAAAGTTAATTTGAGTATCCTTATGAGCTTCACACTCGCCCCCTACTGTAAACAGGGCTTCAAATCAGGCTTCACATCATGAATTTAATTATGCCAAGCTTTTCAAAACAAGTTAATGTATTTACTGTTTCTCAACCTCAAATTAAACACATCAGCTCAGAGCCTGCAGTGTGTGACAAAATAAATCCACATTTTCCACTCCATGCAGGGGTAAAGTGATTATTGTACATAAGAATTTTATGTTGATCTCAGAGAAACATGTTGCTCTCTCGTTAACTGCTGACACGTCTGGACACACAAGTGATGGATGATACCAGAAATTTTGATACCAATTACTTTTTAGGCACATTGATACATTGATATATTGATACATTGTGTGATTTTCTTTTTTTAACACAAACACAAAATACTGGCCCTTTAACATTTAATGTGTATTTTTCATAGCCACAGCCATGCTTTTGACTTGTTGCCTGCACGTGTCACGTTTGTTTATCAGTTCAGCGAATAATATTTTTTACTTTAGTGTTTTATGAAGGCTGTTAGGACAAACTGACTCGCAAAAAAAGAATTCACAAGCAGCAGCAGCAGGTGAGGCAGAAGTGAAGAGGTCTAACAGTAAACAACTTTTACTCTCGCTTTCTGCAAATCACTGCAAAACACCCAGGGGGAAAAAAGACGGATTTAACACAGTGGAGTCAGTGTGGAGTGCTGTGTTCATAAACAGTTCCCAGACAGGATGGTGAAAAGTTCTGGCTCTGCTGTGGCTTCACGTGGCTGGGTGTAGCAAAGATCAGGAAGTGTTTTCTTAAATAGCCTTTTCTAAAGACTGTGGTAGAAAACGTGCCTTCAATTTGACTGGAAATGGAAATATTTAGCTGTAAAACAAAGAAAAAGGAATATCTTCAACTGTGTCTTTCTTCAATTCCTTGAAGGTATATCAGAGATGTGTTCAACGAAACAGGGTCAGGTTTAGAGTAAGTGAGTAAGTTGTGACTCAGTTGAAACCAGATGTTTATAATTATATTTCATTACCTATAGATTGTGTGACATTTTGTCAGTTTAGAGCCTGATTAACTTGATACAAAAGAATGAATGACTTCTTTAAGTGCACTGAGTTAAATCTAATGGATGCTCTGTGCGGTATAGGGACTATTTGACTGACATGTTCAGACGCTTGAATAGCAGCACATTTCAAAGGGATGTGTGTGTGACCGTTCACGGTGCTGCAGCTTTTCTATCGCTTAAAGAATTAATGTGTATAAATGGATTGAGTCTCAGGCCATTAAATCTCTCTGGTTTCCTGGGTTCTTCATATATCTCTTCATAATCCAATATGAGGTGTGTGAGTAAAATGGCCTGTGGCAGTTTTAATAACCTCTGCAGTTTTATTACATTTATGGCCAACTCTCATCAAATGAGCGACATGCTTATTCCTTGATGTGATTAAGGTGCGCTGGTGGGACGGAGAGCAGAGTTCATCATAATGTGTTCTGGAGGGAGTGACAGCTGTATTCTGTCAAAGTCATGCTGCTGCTGCTGCTGCTGCTGTGGTTGACTGTAAACACTGTGCTGTTTATAGACATAAATATTATACATTTATAAATGGCCAGGATTTATCTCAGGACTGTTGTCTGAGGTATTTCAAAGAGAGAGGAGATGAACAATGCACATTTATTAAAAAAATAAATAAAAAAACGTCTCAGAAAGTCTGCAAAACAGTTTGCCTGCAAATTGGTTCCAGCAGCTGACGCTTGTTTCATGTTACACTAATTGGACTCCAACAGTACTGACTTTCAAATAAAAATAGAGTGAAGTTTCTCTGTGATCATGCGTTTATGTTGCCTCTGTGACCATGAGGGGGCAGCATGCCATTAAGTGTGTGGGTTGAGTGTATGGAGCATTGCACACAACAGGCATAAACACTGTGTTCCCCGGAACAGCCCAGATTGAGAGGGACGTTACTTCAAATCCTCGTGCAGTGGACATAAAAATCTATCTTAAATCATCCGTTTGAGATGTAAAAACATGTTTAGGGTTTCTTTTTGTGGTGTTTCTTTTTTTCTGGGTTGTAGGCATTCTCATTTCATCTTTTGATGTTAAAAAAGGATGCTGGATACACTGCATTTAACATGAATCCTTTGTGCTGTGATACCCTTTGAAGAGGCTTACTAATCCTCCAGAGCCATTCCAATAATACACAAAATGTCAAAAATGTTCAGTCATATTTATTTTTCCCACATTCAAACATTTCCATCTGGAGTCTCCCTGCTCTGCCTCCGTTTTTCTGTCCTGCTTATCGCCTCAGATCTGTGAATAATGTGCTTATTCCCTGGACTTTTTGGAAAATGCACATTTTCATTTATTTGCTGCAGCGATGCCTCACTCGTGTCTCTGTGTGAAAACAGGATATCAAGTGTTGGCCGCAGATCATCGTCCTCTGCCCCTGACAGACTGGATACCTGTTAAAATCTCCTCTCCTCTCTCTCCCCTTATGCTGACTCCAGTTCTGACTCCCTTCTCTCCCAAACACTGCAGGAGACTACAGTAGAGGTGCAGTTATGCAGCGACACGTGATGAGGAGGCAGATTTATCTCAGGGCTAAATCTCATTGTTATTCTTCGCCCTTTGGAAACTTTCCTGCGTTGATTTGCTGATGTCAGAGCCTGAGTCTCTGCACTCCAGTTGTGTAGCCTGCTCGGTGTTAGAGGACCTCGCATTGATTAAATAAATTGCATCTATAATTTTAATCATTATGTGCACTGCCCTTTGGAAATGTCACCACTAATATGTTTGTCGATTGCTTTGAACAGAACAGAGAGTGGGGCCATTTATTTTCTCTAGCATGTCCTTGTGTGGTGAAATGTGATTTAAGACTGTTACTGCAGGTGGGGACGTGGTGCTGCACACACAGGAAGCTCTGGCTGTTAATTGGACTGAGTAATTTTTTTTATTTTTTATACACCAGATCAGATTCAGCCCACACTCGGTGTTGACTTTGTTCCCCTGCAGGTTCACACGGTGGTTATAGTTAGCAACAGTGTCTCTGTTCTGTGAGGTCCCTGTGTTCTGACTGAACAAAGTCTAATGAATGGGTTTCCAGATGAGATGAGAAAACATTGGTTATTGTTCTATCAAAAAGAGAGCAGTAGAAAGAACTTGGAAAAAAAATGGAAACGAGGAGAGAAAATCTAAACAGAGGGCGGATTTCTGCCTTATTTCTGCCACTTGTTTACCTTGCACTTTTTTTAAAAATAAATTTTTTTATCTACATTTAAGACTACTGTATTTTCTGGACTTTGTCATTTTTTCCATTTTTTGGCTGGTTTTTTGACTAATACTCAGGTGCGACTTATATTAAAATGTATAATTTCCAATGTTTATTAATTATGCAGCCACTAGAGGGCAC